GAAATTTTACCAGTTACAGTTTCACCTGTGAGCTTCCTCAAGACAAGTGACCATTTGTATCAAAAGTTTATTTGTTGGTTATGAAACGTTTTCCATGGCCCACGGCAATCTCAGCTTTTAAGGTTTTTGGCGACTACCTTTATTGAATAATATATATGTGTGAAGGCACGGCTAWCTCACACATCGAATAAGAGAGGTGTTATACGGAGAGAGGTTTAAATTAGAAAACCCGATTCAAGGGAGAGACATATAAACTCTACTGACATGTGATGCCGAGTCCAGGAATAGAACTCGAGAGTGCATGACCGCYATGCCATCAGTAATACCCTAATACCCAAGAAATTTTCAAAAACAATTACTTGATTTAATAATAATTAAACAAACAAGGCAAGTGTGGATACACATATCAAGTTTTCCGTAATAGATTAGTGCCGAAGGTGGAGCTCGGAGCGAGCGTACTACATATATGGAATAAGGAATTCCATATTTGGATTGATAGTTTTTCTTTGATGAATAAAATGGCTTCAGATCTTTCTCTGCTGAGCTCGATTTGTAAACTTTTGTTTTGATTTTTCTAGCTTCTGCGTGAGCGCTTTCTCTTCTGTCTCAAGCTTCCTATTTGTATTTTCTAAGTTTGCTAAGCTCTTCCTAGTCCTTTTTTTAACAAGAAGGAGACATCAGCTGAGCCCTGATTGTTTGATATGATATATGTCTAGTCTATCGTTTAGAAGTATCTTCTCAATAGATAAGCCGGGTAAGATACATAGTTTTACACACATCATAAGTTAGGCTGCCAAATGCCGGTATCCCCTTTTCTTAARGGACTGTCTACAGGATGTCCCGACTACATGCCTCAATCTCCAACTGCTAAACACTGCTTAATACTGTAAGATATTGTAAGATTATAAGATTCATCAATAAAACTGTTTTAAGCTTTAAGATATTCTTAAAATAAAARTTTGCAGCTAAGTATTGCGATGAAATTATTAAAGAGTTTAGATCGACGAACCTTCATGTTTTTATCGACGTTAGTTTTGATAGCTTTTCAGTTCTTCCAGTATTTCTGCCATCGAAGGACGACTATTAGGATCTTGTTGCAAACATTTTCTTATGAGCCTTCTGAATAATTCATTGGAAACCATAGCAATTTGTTCGTTTCTTCGAGCTACATCAGGGAAATCCCGAACAAACATCTCGCAAAGCAGAACCCCGAAGCTGTAAACATCAACCTAAGGATAACAAAGAATAGACTGAAAATATATTTTGAAACCTCTGATCTTATTCATATTATTTTTTTTCTGATTTTTTCAAGCATTGTATTTGAACATGTCTCCTGGATGCAGCCCTAAAGTAGTCTACGCAGCCGCTATTAGTGTCGTCACGCAACGATCACACTCTCCTAAGTAGCCGCTACTTAAGGGAGTGTGAGCWTTGCGTGACGACACTTATAGCGGCTGCGTAGGAGACTAAGGCCCAGGGCAAACGTCGGACTAACGTAGCACCGAATCTATTTAACATAGGTTCGGTGGAAGGTCGACTAAGGGCCTACGTGGCGGCAAACGTCGAACCGATGTTGATCTTAATTCACTCACCCATYGTTATTATAATTTTAATTGGACATGAAAATGCACGGGGAAACGGACATTTGTTTGTCTTTTCCGGATTAATGCATATCCTTGTAATAGCGAAATATAGCGCTCGACCACAATTAAAACATGTTTTTCGTTCTTTTTTTTTCCCCTCTCTCGCAGCATTCACAATACACAACGCTTTTGCCCGCCGTCCAGCCCGGCTCATCTTCGTTGCTCTCGGATACACCACATTTATTGCAGGTCGGCATCTCACAAACCAGGCAAACAAATTTCGTTTGGTCAAAACAAAAACTACGAAACTCAAGAGTCTCGTCTCGTGGCAAGGATTTTCTAAACGCGGTTTGAGTAGTTTTGAATTTATTTTCGTATCCAGAGCTCCTCGGTCTCGTTCATYACTCATCTTTGTATAGCGCATGCTCAACAGGGGGGAATGAGTGTTTGGGAGTTGGGGGAGTGGTTGTTTTCACGGCTTTGGTGTAACTCATGCAACTTGCATGATTTATTTACTATTTTGCATAATTTATGAMTTCAGTTCGGAACGTTTTTAAAACGGCGTTTGCCGCAAAGTCGCTCCAGAGTCGTAATGTCCGACTTGGCTTGTCGAACTTATGCTGGACTCGAACCTATTCAATAGGGTCGTTCTCAATTGCAGCAAACGTCGTACTAGACATGAACCTATTTCAAATATAATCGTATCATTTTTGTAATCACTACCAAATCCTGCAATCTGATTGGTTCAAAGGAGTGCGATCTTTAGGAGCTCTTAATCGCATCCTAAAAAAATTTTTTTTTTAAACAATAAAATAAAACAAAATGAAACAAAAAAATCAACAATAAAAAAAATTTTTTTGATGTTTTTTTCGCATTTATTTCTTCCACTACATTAAATTGATTATTCTGCACTCTTTATTGTGTCTTTTTCTCGAGTGTGATTACAAAAAGGATATGATTAAGTGGTAACTGAACTTCGTGTCGTGGAATTTTGGTCTGAAATCAAACTTGCAATTATAAATCGCACTCCCGCTACGGGGTCGTGCGATTTTGTAATCGCGCGTTTGATTTCAGACCAAATTGCACTCCACTCAGTTCAATTACYACCATTAATAGGTTCAACTAAATTTAGCTCATGGTTAGTTCGACGTTTACCCTGGGCCTAAGGCATAAGTTCAACTAGCCAAGTCGGACATTACGACTCTGGAGCGACTTTGCGGCAAACGCCGTTTTAAAAACGCCCTTARTCGACCTTCCCCCGAACCTATGTTAAATAGGTTCGGTGCGACGTTAGTCCGACGTTTGCCCTGGTCCTAAGTTCCAAGTTACCAATTTCATGTTTTCTTTATTGTGTTAGTGTGTGTGCGTGTGTTGCTTTAGCGAGTCCTTGAATTGGGTTATTGGTGCTAGACGTGTTTCATTCTTTCGCAGTCTTCTTTTAATATGAAAATATTTTTTGTTCTAAATTCGTAATGGATTAATTATGTAAAGGAAAAAGATCAACATCGGCACAAGTTTAAATATATTATTAAAAAACATTAACAATGACAGCAAGAAAAAAAAAAAAGGCTAAGAAAGCTAGCAAAAGTAATAACAACATTATGAAAGAATAATATTAACGTTAGCCAAAACCTATGAAATGCTAAAATATACTTTACCTTGGGTGTTTGTGTTGACGTAAATGATTCGGGTGCTGAGTACACCGGAGCTCCAGGACCAACAGTCATAGACTGATGTAAGAAGTTAGCAGTACCAAAATCTGATACTTTTGCTCGCCAGTAAGTATTGTGTTTCCAAAGTAACACGTTTGCACTGCTGATGTCTCGATGGATGATAGGTGTGGGTCTAATGAGATGTAAGTAGTTTAACCCTTTGGCAACATCTAGAGCAATGGTAATGATCTCAGTAGGATTCAATGCACGTTCRTGCAAAAGTGCTCTTAGGCTAGAATCCAAAAGTTCCGTAACAAAAAGAGGACTTTGATTATCGTTGGTTGCTCCAATAAACTGAAGAAGACAAGGATGACGACATCTTGAAGCTATACCTATTTCACGCTCGAAAAGTCTTCTGTTGTGATCTGAGAGAATAAGCTGATGAATTTGTTTCACTGCAACTTCACATCCACGGAATGTTCCCTCTGTTACGCTACCCCATGCTCCTTTCCCAATGAGGTTTTTGGTCATCATTATTTCATCGCGGACAARAACCCAATCGCAAGATTTCGTCGAAGCTCGGTAGTCCTCGACAGATCGTTGCAATGTGGCTTGTGTTGCAAGGAGTTCATCGATTCTTTGCCTTTCTTCTTCTAAAGATACTTCAAGCGCTTCTTTTCTCTGGCTTGTTGCTCGATGAGCCTGTCTTTCGCTTTCTAAGGTCCTTTGCAAT